GACACAGACTGGCTGAATGGATACAAAAACAAGACCCATATATATGCTGTCTACAAGTGACCCACTTCAGACCTAGGGACACATACAGACTTTCTTTTGATTTCCATTTGCATGGAGTATCTTTTTCCATCCTGGAAAAAGATACTCCATGCAAACGGAGTATCCATGCAAATGGAAAAAGATACTCCATGCAAATGGAAATCAAAAGAAAGCTGGAGTCACAATTCTCATATCAGACAAAATAGACTTTAAAATAAAGACTATTACAAGAGACAAAGAAGGACACTACATAATGATCAAGGGATCGATCCAAGAAGAAGATATAACAATTGTAAATATTTATGCACCCAACATAGGAGCACCTCAATACATAAGGCAAATACTAACAGCCATAAAAGGGGAAATCAACAGTAACACATTCATAGTAGGGGACTTTAACACCCCACTGTCACCAATGGACACATCATCCAAAATGAAAATAAATAAGGAAACACAAGCTTTAAATGATACATTAAACAAGATGGACTTAATTGATATTTATAGGACATCCCATGCAAAAACAACAGAATACACATTTTTCTCAAGTGCTTATGGAACATTCTCCAGGATAGATCATATCTTGGGTCACAAATCAAGCCTTGGTAAATTTAAGAAAATTGAAATTGTATCAAGTATCTTTTCCAACCACAATGCTATGAGACTAGATATCAATTACAGGAAAAGATCTGTAAAAAATACAAACACGTGGAGGCTAAACAATACACTACTTAATAACGAAGTGATCACTGAAGAAATCAAAGAGGAAATCAAAAAATACCTAGAAACAAATGACAATGGAGACACGACGACCCAAAGCCTATGGGATGCAGCAAAAGCAGTTCTAAGAGGGAATTTTATAGCAATACGATCCTACCTTAAGAAACAGGAAACATCTCAAATAAACAACCTAACCTTGCACCTCAAGCAATTAGAGAAAGAAGAACAAAAAAACCCCAAAGTTAGCAGAAGGAAAGAAATCATAAAAATCAGATCAGAAATAAATGAAAAAGAAATGAAGGAAATGATAGCGAAGATCAATAAAACTAAAAACTGGTTCTTTGAGAAGATAAAAAAATTGATAAACCATTAGCCAGACTCATCAAGAAAAAAAGGGAGAAGACTCAAAACAACAGAATTAGAAATGAAAAAGGAGAAGTAACAACTGACACTGCAGAAATACAAAAGATCATGAGAGATTACTACAAGCAACTCTATGCTAATAAAATGGAAGAAATGGGCAAATTCTTAGAAATGCACAACCTGCCAAGACTGAATCAGGAAGAAATAGAAAATATGAACAGACCAATCACAAGCACTGAAATTGAAACTGTGATTAAAAATCTTCCAACAAACAAAAGCCCAGGACCAGATGGCTTCACAGGTGAATTCTATCAAACATTTAGAGAAGAGCTAACACCTATCCTTCTCAAACTCTTTCAAAATATAGCAGAGAGAGGAACACTCCCAAACTCATTCTACGAGGCCACCATCACCCTGATACCAAAACCAGACAAAGATGTCACCAAGAAAGGAAACTACAGGCCAATATCACTGATGAACATAGATGCAAAAATCCTCAACACAATACTAGGAAACAGAATCCAAAAGGACATTAAAAGGATCATACACCATGATCAAGTGGGGTTTATTCCAGGAATGCAAGGATTCTTCAATATATGCAAATCAATCAACGTGATGCACCATATTAACAAACTGAAGGAGAAAAACCATATGATCATGTCAATAGATGCAGAGAAAGCTTTTGACAAAATTCAACACCCATTTATGATAAAAACCCTGCAGAAAGTACGTATAGAGAGAACTTTTCTCAACATAATAAAGGCCATATATGAGAAACCCACAGCCAACGTAGTCCTCAATGGTGAAAAACTGAAACCAATTCCACTAAGATCAGGAACAAGACAAGGTTGCCCACTCTCACCACTCTTATTCAACGTAGTTTTGGAAGTTGTAGCCACAGCAATTAGAGAAGAAAAGGAAATAAAAGGAATCCAAATCGGAAAAGAAGAAGTAAAGCTGTCACTGTTTGCAGATGACATGATACTATACATAGAGAATCCAAAAGATGCTACCAGAAAACTACTAGAGCTCATCAATGATTTTGGTAAAGTAGCAGGATACAAAATTAATGCACAGAAATCTCTGGCATTCCTATACACTAATGATGAAAAATCTGAAAGTGAAATTAAGAAAACACTCCCATTTACCATTACAACAAAAAGAATAAAATATCTAGGAATAAACCTACCTAAGGAGACAAAAGACCGGTGCGCAGAAAATTATAAGACAGTGATGAAGGAAATTAAAGATGATACAAATAGATGGAGAGATAGACCATGTTCTTGGATTGGAAGAAGCAACATTGTGAAAATGACTCTACTACCTAAAGCAATCTACGGATTCAATGCAATCCCTATCAAACTACCACTGGCATTTTTCACAGAACTAGAACAAAAAATTTCACAAGTTGTATGGAAACACAAAAGACCCCAAATAGCCAAAGCAATCTTGAGAAAGAAAAACGGAGCTGGAGGAATCAGGCTCCCTGACTTCAGACTATACTACAAAGCTACAGTAATCAAGACAGTATAGTACTAGCACAAAAACAGAAATATAGATCAATGGAACAGGATAGAAAGCCCAGAGATAAACCCATGCACATATGGTCATCTTATCTTTGATAAAGGAGGCAGGAATATACAGTGGAGAAAGGACAGCCTCTTCAATAAGTGGTGCTGGGAAAACTGGACAGGTACATGTAAAAGTGTGAGATTAGAACACTCCGTAACACCATACACCAAAATAAGCTCAAAATGGATTAAAGACCTAAATGTAAGGCCAGAAACTATCAAACTCTTACAGGAAAACATAGGCAGAACACTCTATGACATAAATCACAGCAAGATCCCTTTTGACCCACCTCCTAGAGAAATGGAAATAAAAACAAAAATAAACAAATGGGACCTAATGAAGCTTAAACTTAAAAGCTTTTGCACAGCGAAGGAAATCATAAACAAGACCAAAAGACAACCCTCAGAATGGGAGAAAATATTTGCAAATGAAGCAAATGACAAAGGATTAATCTTCAAAATTTACAAGCAGCTCATGCAGCTCAGTAGCGAAAAAATAAACAACCCAATCCCAAAATGGGCAGAAGACCTAAATAGACATTTCTCCAAAGAAGATATACAGATTGCCAACAAACACATGAAAGAATCGTCAACATCATTAATCATTAGAGAAATGCAAGTCAAAACTACAATGAGATATCATCTCACACCTGTCAGAATGGCCATCATCAAAAAATCTAGAAACAATAAACGCTGGAGAGGGTGTGGAGAAAAGGGAACACTCTTGCACTGCTGTTGGGAATGTGAATTGGTACAGCCACTATGGAGAACAGTATGGAGGTTCCTTAAAAAACTACAAATAGAACTACCATATGACCCAGCAATCCCACTACTGGGCATATACCCTGAGAAAACTATAATTCAAAAAGTGTCATGTACCAAAATGTTCATTGCAGCTCTATTTACAATAGCCAGGAGATGGAAGCAACCTAAGTGTCCATCATCGGATGAATGGATAAAGAAAATGTGGCACATATATACAATGGAATATTACTCAGCCATAAAAAGAAACGAAATTGAGTTATTTGTAGTGAGGTGGATGGACCTGGAGTCTGTCATACAGAGTGAAGTAAGTCAGAAAGAGAAAGACAAATACCATATGCTAACACATATATATGGAATCTAAGAAAGAAAAACATGTCATGAACAACCTAGGGGTAAGATGGGAATAAAGATACAGACCTACTAGAGAATGGACTTGAGGATATGGGGAGGGGGAAGGGTAAGCTGTTACAAAGTGAGAGAGTGGCATGGACATATATACACTACCAAACGTAAAATAGATAGCTAGTGGGAAGCAGCCACATAGCACAGGGAGATCAGCTTGGTGCTTTGTGACCACCTAGAGGGGTAGGATAGGGAGGGTCGGAGGGAGGGAGACGCAAGAGGGAAGAGATATGGGAACATATTTATATGTATAACTGATTCACTTTGTTATAAAGCAGAAACTAACACACCATTGTAAAGCAATTATACTCCAATACAGATGTTAAAAAAAAAAAAAAAGACCATGACTGATGGACATAGAGTATTTGTTAATGCCAAAAGAAAAACCTTATGAAAGCAGTTCCATAATTCATACACTTTTGTTTATTGCAACTTAAAAGAACTTATTCAATAAATGACTGAACTGCATAATAAAGTTTCAAATGGAAAAAACTCATACACATATAAGGGGGACAGAGATGGCAGTAGTAGATCTGGGAAGGTGTTCTCGAGGAGATGATCACCCTACGAGAAAGATGACCAGCATGAACACCTGTCTACTGTCCCATAACACAAGGTCTGGATCCTTTTAACACCTTTCAGGTGCTTCCCCTTATCTAACCCAGAAAACTATGTCACATGTTGTGGAGAAAGGCAGGGAAGAATGCTGGTTTCCTCCTCCCATTCTGTCCTTGGATATTCCCCTGTAGGATTGGGTCTACATATCCTGACCTTTTGAAATTTTCCATTTCAACCATCCTACCTAATAATAATGTATGTCCGCTGGAAATCTGAGATTTGAGACAGCCAATCCAATGTACATAGATATAATCACAATGGGCTACTTCATCAAATGAGCCAGCGTAGGGCTTCCCTGGTGGCACAGTGGTTGAGAGTCTGCCTGCCTATGCAGGGGACATGGGTTCGTGTCCCAGTCCGGGAAGATCCCACATGCCATGGAGCGGCTAGGCCCGTGAGCCATGGCCGCTGAGCCTGCGCGTCCGGAGCCTGTGCTCCGCAACGGGAGAGGCCACAACAGTGAGAGGCCCGCGTACCGCAAAAAAAAAAAAAAAAAAAAAAGAATCATCATAACATTTTACTCACCTGTCTGAATACACAAACTAAGCAGGAGATGAACTGAGTAAGAAGCCAGGAGAGCGACTATCAGCAGCAAGAAACTAAAATATAAAACAGCACATGGTCAAATCCCCCCAAATTTCTTTTTTATGGTATCTCATTCAAAAAACAATTTTTTTTTTCACATTGAAATGCTCACAGGGACTGTCTTTAAGTAGTTGGATTACGGTCATTAAAGAAAGTAAGAAGATACTTTCTATATTTACCAAATTTTATTTAAACGAATATGTACTGCTTTTAAAACAAAACTCAGAAAAAAACCAAAGCTTATTTAAAACGACAAAAGAATTTCCTTCTTGAGCGCTCTTGTCTGCTGACTGCTGGTTTAGCCATTCAGTTGTCTTGTAATACATCCCTTTTATAACTATTTTTCCTATTGTTAAGTCTAGAGAGAAGTTTCAGTTGTGAAATCTCATTGTCTTCTGTTTTCTTTCCTCTATCCCTCCCCTTCCAAAGATGTGTACCTCCCTATAATTTTGAATTAACACTGCATTTCCTAGCATCTATTAAACACACACTCACCAAACCAAACCAAAAAAATACAGTTAACACACTTCTAATGACACAATTTGAAAAATGTGCAATGTAATAATTGGAGTCCTCTAGCCAAAAGTATGAAAAGAAACAGCATGAATAATCCCCTACTTATTCTCAGGAAGGTACTGGCAGGACAAACTTCTAGAGAGCTGTCCCCAGTGGAGGGCTCCCGAAGTTGAAGAAATTCTATCTTTGTAGTCCACTTAATACTTGTTAATCAGTAGCAAAACTGAGAGGTGAAAGTACACTTGTCAACTGATGTCAGAGACCTCACAAAGTAACAGTTTGGCATCACCAAATGGAAACTGTGATATGATTCAGCAAGCACCCATTCAGTGGTATACATCTGCGTTTAAGACGCTGGAGTATAAAATGTGATTTTTCAAAGGGAACTAAGAAATAAGTCCCATGATTATGTCTTGCCTAAGATGTCCCACATAGCTTTGAAGTTTTAAAACTATGGAAGTCCGTGAATACATCCCATAATAAAAGCAAGTTGGTTTGCTAATCAAGAATTTCAAAATAAAGGCAAAAATGAACCTAAATGAGACTGTGTATTTTATTTTTTTTGAGACTATGTATTTTAAATTTCCTAGAAAAATAGGTCTGCTTCTACTGACAAAACAAACTTGTTCATTCATTCTATTAAGCATGGTGCTAGATGCTAAGGATAAGGTCTAGTCCTAAAGGATTTCAGGGTTTAGTGGGGAAACTCACTTGCAAACAAATCATTATATTATAACAAAAGAATAAGTATACAAAGTACTATGGAAGCATAGAAAAGACAGGAATGTCTTCTATCTTGGGCAAACTGGCATATGAGCTGAGTCTCAAAAGATGAGAAGGAATGAACACAGAATACATGTCTAGCCTCAGAAAGTGAAACAAGACTACTTAAGTAGGAAGAGAGAAGGAGATGGAGAGAAATGAAAGAATCATGTGCTTTATTTACACTCACAAAATCGCTCTTTATAAGTAATCTGCATGGCTGATAAACTTTGATTTACTTTGGCCAACTTGACACAACAAACAAGCCACTTCTTAAGGTTATAAACAAGTGTGGATCAAGTTTCCATTTTTTAAAATTAGCCACACTTTGGATGAAAAATACAAATTATGTAGCATCCCTCCAAGCTACAGACTAGCAACAATACAAGAGTAAGAGGAAAATGCTAAAACCCCAGAAATAACTAGAAATTGTATAATACCAGCTTCTGCTGCCTACCTCTTTGCTTCTCAGTGTACTATAAAAATGAAAAAAAAATAAGTAAAATAAGAAAAAAACTCACCTAAATCCAAGGATACCAGTATGAGCCATAACATAAGCTAAGCCAAGGATGCCACTTCCTATGATGGTATTCATCAAATTAAACACTGAGAAACCAAATGAAACACCTGGGGATCCCTGTCTGTGAAGTTCCTGTAAGCACACAAATTTAATAAAGTGTTTGAATGGTGAAGTTCAAATTTCCTTCAGAAATGACTGACACGTTATGGAGAAAGTCTCTTACAAACCACAGGCATCATGTAACATACTAGCTGCTCAACCAGCACTGGTTTCCTTTCCTTCCCTTCTCACCGCTCACTAGTGCAGCTCCAGGAACCTAGTTTCCTGGGAAAATCATTGCCACCTGCACAGAGAGACCCGGTAGGCTTCAGGAAGAGCCATGACTAACCAACCTTGTGACTGCAAAAGATGAAGATAGGGTAAGACGGGGTGGGGACAGACAGCAGGCAGATGGCCTCAAGCTCACGTGATTACTGAATCCCTGAGTCAGCTTGGAGCTGCTGCAGACAACTGTTGCTCCCCAATTAGTAGGACTGCAAAACTAATCTCTATTTATACACTCAATGAATTAAGTCTGCCCAACTGGAAGGATGGTCAGGAATGCCATGCAATGACGATATAATAAATAGAAGCAATTCACATTGCTCTGGCGAGGATACACCCCAGAAAACACTCTCCCCTAAAATAGCATTCGGGAACAAAGTCCTAGAAACTGTTATTGCCCTGGGACTTGAGTTAAAGAGCCGAAGTGCCCACTGCACAGGCTTTAGGGCCAGGGAAGTGCTACATACTTATTACCAGGCCACCTCCGCTCCTTCACGGTTAAGGATCTTTGTGTTAAGATGTTTACAGGTCCCCAATGACTAAGCCGAGAAAAGAAAAATCTTGTGACTCTTGCAAAAAGCTCACAAGACTAGTGGAGGAAACGAGAAGCCGGCAAAGATACTAACAAACAGCAGTGAGTTACATAACCGCGGGGCTGCTCCTCTGTGGGGTCCCCAGCCTCCACCCGCTGCTGCACCTCTTCCACCTGAGCCTGCACCTTTACTTCAGCTTCTCTTTCTAGGACACCTTAGGCTCCTATCACATTCATGAACTCCGCCAGAACTCCTCGGAATCTCGGCTGCTGCCTTTGGGCCCCAGGCCCTAAGCTTCTCCCCCCTCCCCTTGCCATCCCCTTTCTTTTCCGGGTTTTATTTGGCAGGCACTTCAGAGAAGTGCCGGGAAGCGTGTGGCGCGAACTTACGTTGCTAAGCAACGGGCTCAACTCTTCCGCCTCCGCCTCTTCGGGCTGCCTGGCAGAGACAAACCAGCCGGGCTCAGCGTCCACGATCCCCCAGGGCGCCTCCATGCCGCTCACTGGCCGACTACCCAGTCCATCTACAAGCTACTACCCCAGCCCTCCCGTCGGGTAGTCGCGCCAAAGGCGGAGCTATGGTCCCAGCCCTTCCGGGTTCCCGTACCTCACCAGGGCTGGGAAGAAAGGAGGAATCGACGTGATCTGATGACGCTCGCCCCTCGGCGGCGAACATTGATGGTGTCATCGAGGGCCCGCCCACCCGCCGGCGACCCATTTCCGAGCTGCACCAGAGCATGAGGTGAGGGTCTGGTCGTGGAGCTAGCTGCTGGGCGACGCAGAGAAATGAGATGGTGACGTTGGTGAGATGGCGGCCGCGGTGCCCTTGATAGTTCGAAGAGGCTGAGGGTATGGTGGCGGTACGGGTCCGCTCGGGGCTGCTCTCCGCCTCGCGCTCTCTGGGCGCGGAAACGTCACGAGGTCACCCACCATCAGGTGCGGAGCCTAGGTCTGAGTACGGCGGAGTGAGGAGTGTTTCATCTTTTCAAAAGCTTTCCGATAGAGCCTTTAGCCACATTTTACATGCGGAAAGACGAGACTCACAATAAGTAATTTACCCAAGATCACACATCTGGTTAACTTCTATACCCAGTTTGAACCCTGACTGTGAACTTTGACAGGTGCTTTACAGGGTTCCCGGGCAGGGCCCTTTTTTCTGACACTTACTTCTTCGGCATTCCAGAAGGCAAAATTAATAACTGATACTGCTACTGGGATGTGCATATAACACTTAGCAAAGTTCTCGTCCTCAAAATACTGAAACCTCTAGTTATAGGCAGGACTTGTGGCAGTAAAACATCGAAGACATTGAGATAGATTAAGAGCGCAGGCACTGGATTTTAATCCTCGGTCAGCCACTTACCAGCAACGAGACTTCGGGTCAATTTACCTACTTCTGAGCTTTAGTTTACTCGTATACAAGATGAGAATGTGATACCACACACCTCCCAAGATTGACAATGTGCATAAAGCATTTAGTACAACATCTGGCCCATTAAGCATCCATAAGAATATCCTTTTAAAAATTGACATTGGTAAAATCGTAAATATAGTGACCATTTCGTTTAGAGATGATCCTTTAACTTAAACTTCAGCCTTCTAATTCCAAACATATTCTGTAGAAAATTGTGGGTGGGGAGGTTTATTGACTATAGGGAGGGTGATGGATCACTAAGCCCTAGTCCTGGCAGCAGGTGGATTGAAGGTTCAAATCTTCCAGTCATCCTGTCCTAGAAAAGATAGTATACTTCTCACATACCACTAAAAGTTTTAATTATCAGCATTTAGCAGGCTATTTAAAACAGTAGTGAATTTAAATTTTTATCCTCAAGACCTATTGTGAACATGTTAAGTTAGTTTGTAACTTTATGGTATTTCTCTTAATTAATACTTTTTTTAGGATCTTATGGAGGCCATTTGGATTCTCAAGAAGACTTCTCAAAGTGGAAAGCTGTAGAGTAACTGAAGCAGAATCATTGAGTCCACTAGCTTGGGCATCACTGATACAGAAGCTTAGCAGAGCACCTGGTATTTTCTTGTTGGATCAAAGAAAAAGATTCTCAACCATGCCTGAAACAGAAACAAATCAGAGAGACTCTGAATTGTTTTCACCCCCCTCTGATGTTCGAGGAATGACAGAACTTGATAGAACAGCTTTTAAAAAGACAATCACCATCCCGGTGCTTAAAGTGAGGAAAGAAATAGTCAATAAATTGATGCGATCCCTTAAAAGGGCAGCACTGCAGCGCCCAGGCATAAAACGTGTGATTGAAGATCCAGAAGATGAAGAAAGTAGACTAATTATGTTGGATCCTTATAAAATGTTTACTGATGATTCCTTTGAGAAGGGAGAACTCAGTATTTTAAAGCAGCTGAATGTCAGTCCACAGATATCTAAATATAACTTGGAACTAACTTATGAAAACTTTAAGTCAGAAGAAATCTTGAAAGCTGTGCTTCCTGAAGGTCAAGATGTGACTTCAGGGTTTAGCAGAGTTGGACATATTGCCCACCTGAACCTTCGAGATCATCAACTGCCTTACAAGCATTTAATTGGTAGGTGTGTCTTAGTAATATTCACATATTAGAAAGCAATTAGCAAGTTCTAATTTTTGTTAAAAAAAATTTTTTTAATGCCGAATTACAGAATCAGGACATTTTATCATTTTAATTTTAAGCTGGATCTTAAGCTACATATTCTTTCTTTTGAGGGCCATTTTGGAATACTCTTCCCAGAGTCATAGCAATCTCTAAATATCAATTCAAGCTTTTGTGTACACAATACGTAAGCATAAACTTGAATCACTTGCTTTTGTAGAACTCTTTGGCAGTTTATTATTTTGGTATACAGGACTTGTTAGTCCTTCAGGACTATGTTGAATGCTAGGTTTCGTGAGTGTTTCGTAGTCAAAAGGGCAAGACACTGTTTAGTCATGCTTTCATTGATGCAGTTAACTGAGCCTCTTCTGTATGTCAGGCACCATACTTTTTTAGTGTTCCTAGCCTTTTAGAAACACTGCTGTGTATCTCTCTTAACTCTGTAGCCCAAAGTTGAAGCGTGGGTCTTTTATGCTTTGGGATAAGAAAGAACTAGAAGACTAATCAAAATCGCACTTGTTCTTATATAAATATTTAATTCCATGCATTCTCCAGATTAATTTTTTTTAATGTAGAGTAATTGTCAGAACTTCTGAGAATTATTTTCAGCTTTAAAATGTAGTGCTCAGTGTTTTGCATGGGTAGGATTTCAGAGCTATGCTATTACGCATTTCCTTTGTTTTTATTGATGAAAGGAGCTGATAATGCATAGTGATAACATAATAAATACTTAAGCAGATCCTTATAATTATGACCAGGTGCAAATGTCAAGTATAGGCTTTCCTATGAGTCATTGCCTATCGTAACTCAACATTCCTTTTAGCACTCTTATTTTATAAACTCTCTTTCATAAAGGGGCACTCATAGATTAAAAGTGAAATATTTTCATACAGTGGTAATTCTAAAGCTATTACTATAGACCTTCAGAATATTTTTTTTATTTCATTCATTTCAAACTAACTTCTGTACCTTAAAAATTGAGTTCTGATACCTGAAGCAGAACAAGATAAGAACAACTATTGACAAGAGTTTATTGACATTATCATATTCAAAATCAGGTACTTAACTATCAGAGAGAAATTGGACAAATTCTGGTTGTATTTAAGCATATTTGTATTATGGAGTACTTTATACTAACTTACAGATCAAGTTATCTTTCCTTATACAATGAGATAGTGTACAGATTCTTTTTTTTTAAATTAAATTTAACTTATTTTTTTATATAGCAGGTTCTTATTAGTCATCCATTTTATACACATCAGTGTATACATGTCAATCCCAATCTCCCAATTGATACCACCACCACCACCACCCCCTGCCGCTTTCCCCCCTTGGTGTCCATACGTTTGTTCTCTACATCTGTGTCTCACTTTCTGCCCTGCAAAACGGTTCATCTGTACCATTTTTCTAGGTTCCACATATATGCATTAATATACGATATTTGTTTTTCTCTTTCTGACTTACTTCACTATGTATGACAGTCTCTAGGTCCATCGACGTCTCTACAAATGACCCAATTTCATTCCTTTTTATGACTGAGTAATATTCCATTGTATATATGTACCACACCTTCTTTATCCATTTGTCTGTCGATGGGCATATAGGTTGCTTCCATGACCTGGCTACTGTAAATAGTGTTGCAATGAACATTGGGGTGCATGTGTCTTTTTGAATTGTGGTTTTCTCTGGATATATGCCCAGTATGGTAATTCTATTTTCAGTTTTATAAGGAACCTCTGTACTGTTCTCCATAGTAGCTGTATCAATTTACATTCCCACCAACAGTGCAAGAGGGCTCCCTTTTCTCCACACCCTCTCCAGCATTTGTTGTTTGTAGATTTTCTGATGATGCCCATTCTAACTGGTGTGAGGTGATACCTCATTGTACTTTTGATTTGCATTTCTCTAATAATTAGTGATGTTGAGCAGCTATTCATGTGCTTCTTGGCCATCTGTATGTCTTCTTTGGAGAAATGTCTATTTAGGTCTTCTGCCCATTTTTGGATTGGGTTGTTTGTTTTTTTAATATTGAGCTGCATGAGCTGTTTATATATTTCGGAGATTAATCCTTTGTCCGTTGATTCGTTTGCAAATATTTTCTCCCATTCTGAGGGTTGTCTTTTCGTCTTGTTTATGGTTTCCTTTGCTGTGCAAAAGCTTTTAAATTTCATTAGGTCCCATTTGTTTATTTCTGTTTTTATTTCCATTACTCTAAGAGATGGATCAAAAAAGATCTTGCTGTGATTTATGTCAAAGAGTGTTCTTCCTATGTTTTCCTCTAAGAGTTTTATAGTGTCTGGTCTTACATTTAGGTCTCTAATCCATTTTGAGTTTATTTTTGTGTATGGTGTTAGGGAGTGTTCTAATTTCAATCTTCTACATGTAGCTGTCCAGTTTTCCCAGGACCACTTATTGAAGAGACTGTCTTTTCTCCATTGTATATCCTTTTCTCCCTTGTCATAGATTAGTCGACCATCGGTGCACGGGTTTATCTCTGGGCTTTCTATCTTGTTCCATTGATCTATATTTCTGTTTTTGTGCCAGTACCATATTGTCTTGATTACTGTAGCTTTGTAGTATAGTCTGAAGTCAGGGAGTCTGATACCTCCAGCTCCTCTTTTGTCCCTCAAGACTGCTTTGGCTATTTGGGGTCTTTTCTGTCTCCATACAAATTTTAAGATTTTTTGTTCTAGTTCTGTAAAAAATGCCATTGGTAATTTGATAGGGATTGCATTGAACCTGTAGATTGCTTTGGGTAGTATAGTCATTTTCACAATATTGATTCTTCCAATCCAAGAACATGGTATATCTCTCCATCTGTTGGTATCATCTTTAATTTCTTTCATCAGTGTCTTATAGTTTTCTACATACAGGTCTTTTGTCTCCCTAGGTAGGTTTATTCCCAAGTATTTTATTATTTTTGTTGCAGTGGTAAATGGGAGTGTTTCCTTAATTTCTCTTTCAGATTTTTCATCATTAGTATATAGGAATGCCAGAGATTTCTGTGCATTAATTTTGTATCCTGCAACTTTACCAAATTCATTGATTAGCTCTAGTAGTTTTCTGGTGGCATCTTTAGGATTCTCTGTGTATAGTATCATGTCATCTGCAAACAGTGACAGTTTTACTTCTTCTTTTCCAATTTGTATTCCTTTTATTTCTTTTTCTCCTCTGATTGCTGTGCCTAGGACTTCCAAAACTATGTTGAATAATAGTGGTGAGAGTGGACATCCTTGTCTTATTCCTGATCTTAGAGGAAATGCTTTCAGTTTTTCACCATTGAGAATGATGTTTGCTGTGGGTTTGTCATATATGGCCTTTATTATGTTGAGGTAGGTTTCCTATATGCCCACTTTCTGAAGAGTTTATCATAAATGGGTGTTGAATTTTGTCAAAAGCTTTTCCTGCATCTATTGAGATGATCATATGGTTTTTATTATTCAATTTGTTAATATGGTGTACCACACTGATTGATTTGCATATATTGAAGAATCTTTGCAGCCCTGGGATAAATCCCACTTGATCATGCTGTATGATCCTTTTAATGGGTCGTTGGATTCTGTTTGCTAGTATTTTGTTGAGGATTTTTGCATCTATATTCATCAGTGATATTGGTCTGTAATTTTCTTTTTTTGTAGTATCTTTGTCTGGTTTTGGTATCAGGGTGATGGTGGTGTCATAGAATGAGTTTGGGAGTGTTCCTTCCTCTGCAATTCTTGGAAGAGTTTGAGAAGGATGGGTGTTAGCTCTTCTCTAAATGTTCGATAGAATTCACCTGTGAAGCCATCTGGTCCTGGACTTTTGTTTGTTGGAAGATTTTTAATCACAGTTTCAATTTCATTACTTGTGGTTGGTCTGTTAATACTTTCTATTTCTTCCTGGTTCAGTCTTGGAAGGTTATACCTTTCTAAGAATTGGTCCATTTCTTCCAGGTTGTCCATTTTATTGGCATAGAGTTGCTGTAGTAGTCTCTTAGGATACTTTGTATTTCTGCAGTGTCTGTTGTAACTTCTCCTTTTTCGTTTCTAATTTTACTGATTTGAGTCCTCTCCCTCTGTTTCTTGATGAATTTGGCTAATGGTTTATCAATTTTATCTTCTCAAAGAACCAACTTTTAGTCTTATTGATCTGTGCTTTTGTTTTCTTTGTTTCTATTTCATTTATTTCTCTCTGATCTTTATGATTTCTTCCCTTCTGCTAACTTTGGGTTTTGTTTGTTCCTTCTCTAGTTCCTTTAGGTGTAAGGTTAGATTGTTTATTTGAGATTTTTCTAATTTCTTGAGGTAGGCTTGTATAGCTATAAAGTTCCCTCTTAGAACTGCTTTTGCTGCATCCCATAGGTTTTGGATCATCGTGTTTTCATTGTCATTTGTCTCTAGTTATTTTTTGATTTCCTCTTTGATTTCTTCAGTGATCTCTTGGTTATTTAGTAACGTACTGTTTAGCCTTCATGTGTTTGTGTTTTTTATGTTTTTTCCCTGTAATTCATTTCTAATCTCATAACGTTGTGGTCAGAAAAGATACTTGATACGATTTCAATTTTCTTAAATTTACTAAGCCTTCACTTGTGAACCAAGATGTGATCTATCCTGGAGAGTGTTCTTTGTGCACTTGAGAAGAAAGTGTAATCTGCTGTTTTTGGATGGAATGTCCTATAAATATCAATTAAATCTATGTGGTCTATTGTGTCATTAAAGCTTATGTTTCCTTATTAATTTTCTATTTGGAAGATCTGTCCATTGGTGTAAGTGAGGTGTTAAAGTCCCCCACTATTATTGTGTTACTGTCGATTTCCTCTTTTATAACTGTTAGCAGTTGCCTTATGTATTGAGGTGCCCCTATGTTGGGTGCATATATATTTATA